AGGGACAGAGGAAGCTGACCAGGCTTCTCCATCCCTGAAGACCATGAGAGTGTTTACTGTAATTTTTAGCTCACTAAGCAACCTAGTGATTCCAATTCCATTTTCTATCTGTGTTGACCATTGGGATCAGGGACCCTGAACAATAAACGCCATGACTCCTGTTACCACGAAGATACACCCATGAATCGGCTTTGTGTTACAAGCATGAATCTCCTATTTAGGTCAATGCCATTCAGTTCATTAAAGTCTGATTCCTGGTGAACTGAAAGAACTGACTAGACATTGAAGGATGAGGATTCTGCGAGGGGACTGACCCCTCGAGAGACCCTGTCTGGACAGTTAGGCTCCCTCTCCACATCCCTCTCTTTCTAATGATATGTGATCACACGAACACACTGAGAACTCCAAAGTATCCTCCGAAACAAAGGAAGCATCTACCATGTTTGCTATCATTTGTTCTAAATGCGTTTCGTTGCAACTCTCTGAGAATCCATAGAAGGTGTATATAGAAACACTGTATCGCTCCGGAGACCTTTGCAACCAGAACAGCGTGTTCATTAACACTTTGGGTCACAGAGTTGACTCCAATGCTGACTTTTGTTGCTTTGTGACAAAAGTCTCTCCACACTCTCCTCTTGTAGCCACAACCTCTCTTCTAAAAACCCTCCTCCCAGCTCACACCCTTCAAGAAGTCTTATTGAACGATGCCACCCATATCTGATTATTCTCCTACTCTATGTCTTCTCCAACATCAGGAACATAAGTTGGACTCTATTATTTCACGCTTTTCCATTAGGAGAAAGTTTTGAGTTCCTATCTTCCACATAAATAAACAATCCAGGACAAGTTCTTTAACACCATGATTTAGTTTCCTCCTGATTAAAGTAGATATAAAAACTCCTACCTCTAAAGCTGTTTTGAGAAGCAAATGAGATCACATCCAAGAAAGTACCTGGAAAACCACAGATGGAGGAACAAGACGCCTGCACCCAAGCGTGGACACCACGTGCCACCAACCAACCACGAAGGGGCCAGCACGGGACAGCTGAATTGCAGCTCTTCTTCAAGGTGGACCAATTCCATGTTCTTCCTGCTCCTAACCCCCACACTTCACCCAGGTGAAGGAAGAGGAAGAGAGACACCTCAGTAGCCTCCCTTTTCACTTTCTCTCCATGAGCCTCTATTTACTAAAAATCACTATGTATAAACTCACCCAAAACATAAGCAGTTCCCTTCTCTAACTGCCCTCATGCTCCTGAAATGCGCTCCGACCCCTCCTTCATGAAGGACACCCGTCCAGAGAACTGTTTAAAAACGCATTTATGTTTTTACATCACCACAATGACAGTTTCTAAAACTAACTGCAGCAACTCTGTAGACATTTAATTAAAAAAATAATGTGCTCACTCAGGATTTGTTAATGTTTGTTTCAGAGAATTCCTAATGTAGCTAAATCCTTGCAGTTCTCAAATGGAAAGACAACAAACAAAAAACGTTCTGATTTACAAAAGCTTCGAGGTCACATGATCCTTCCAGTTTCCTTTAACCTGGATTAGGTCAGCTTTTGAAACCGCGGTCATTTTTTCTGCCTCTTCTTTTTCAGTCCTGCTGCAACAGAGTCCCATTTGCAGCTTTAAGTGACCTGTTTAATTAGAATTTGGAACCCTCAGACAGAGAAGTGTGCTGTCTTCATTCTATTTTGCTCAACAGACCTTATTAATGAATTGAACTTCTAATTCAGTTTGTTAAAAAAATATGCACCTCTGCAATCCTAGCACTTTGGGAGGCCAAGATGGGAGGATCACTCAAGGCCAGGAGGTCGAGACCAGCCTGAGCAACATAGTGAGACCCCATCTCTACAAAAAAATACAAAAGTTAGCTGGGCATGGTGGCGCAAGCCTGTAGTCCCAGCTACTCAGGAGCTTAAGGCAGGCGGATCACTTGAGCCCAGGAGTTTGAGGCTACAATGAGCTATGATCAAGCCACTGCACTCCAGCCCAGGTGACAGAGAGAGACCCCATCTCAAAAGAAAAAAAAAAAATGCACCTTAATCCCCAAACCCAAATATCCAGGTTTAATTATGTTCATGAGTGTCCATTCAAACATGGTCTAGGTAAAGGAAAGAACATCCAATTAGGTGTCAGGACACCTTGGTTCTGACAACTTTGCTGCTAACCACTGTGCAACCTTAGCGCAACCTCAATCTCCCAAGCCTTAGTCTTCTCACCTTTACAAAGAGGAGGTTAGACTCTCAGGTCCTTTATGGCTCTAAGTGTCTGAATATTTTCTGAGCATCTACCACATACAAAGCACTGAGCCACATATAGGGGTTTGGAGGCGATACAAAGATGAATTGATGTTGCCCAATCATCAAGAACTTTACACACTACTGGGAGAGAAGACCACACAGTACAAGCCCAAATGCCATCATTACCTTATTTATCTTCTCTATTCCTTGTGATTGGCACTGTGCCTGCCATATATTAATAGCAGCTGCTCAATTAAATGACACATAGGAGCTATAAAATGCCCTTTGAGCATTTAGAGAATAGGAGCTCCATCTGATGGGGGGAAACAGGAAGGTTCATAGGTGCTATATTTTTTTTTCTTGAGACAGGGTCTTGCTCTGTCACCCCAGCTGGAGTGTAATGTTGTCATCACAGCTCACTGCAACCTCAAACTCCTGGGTTCAAGTGATCCTCCTGCCTCAGCCTCCCAAGTAGCTGGACTACAGGCACACACCACCATGCCTGGCTAATTTTTCTGTTTTTTGTAAAGATGGGGTCTCACTCTTGCTCAGGCTGGTCTTGAACTCCTGGCCTCAAGTGATCCTCCCACCTCGGCCTCCCAAAGTGCTGGGATTACATGCATGAGCCACCTCGCCTGGCCCAGGATCTGGATTTTTAAATACCTGGAATGTCCCTGAATGTGTCCGTACACCAGGGCACTAGTGTCTACTGCTCAGTAGCCCTGACCAGCTAATGGGGCATAAATACCACCTGATTCCTCCTGAACCCATTTTCTGCTTTATTTAAGCCGTCGTTAGGCAGAACGCTGAGAACGATTCAGCCCCATATCCCAATCTCAGTTCTGCCTCTCCCGAGCCAGCATTAGACACACACACACACACACACACACACACAAATGCCTATGCATACTGTACAGCAGATTTCCTTTCACTGACTTCCTAACATAAGTGATTAACCTTGCCTGTATTTGGTCCATTTGCTCCTCTGTTCCCCCTCCCCCTGCTACTACTCACCAGCCAGGAGCCTGGTATTTCTAACTGCTGCTGGCATCCTGCTAACTCCCGCTCCCTGGGTCTGCTTGCCCTTCAATCCCAGCTTGACATATAACCAGCCTCAAGAAACGATGAACACCAACTTGCTTTGGAAAGCTATGCTAAACAACTTTTCATTTTTATTTCTGATTAATCTGACATTAAAGAAATTAAAGAACATCATGTTTGGCCTCTGTCCAATTAAACATCTGTTACCGTAATCAAAATCTCCTGGCTATGTTATCACAAGTGCCAGTCTGAACTGACATCAGCAGGATGAGGAATACCCAATTCTCTGAATGTCAGATTCAGTAAGCACGACACCTGCCTGCAGAAAGGTGAGAAGAAATCTTGTTTCTCCTCCGTAAACACCAAGTGGCCCGGCCAACCACCTCGATGTTGGTCAGGCCTGTTTGTTTATCGTATTTGCTGAGTGCTCCAGCCTTCACAGAGCACATGCAAAGGAAATCAGGGGTGTCAAAGTGTTTTCAGGGGGAAGTGTCATCACCATCTCTGTCTTTGCAGGCAAGCAGTGACTCAGCTTTGGAGAAAGACAACAGCAGACAAAGCGAGAAAGGCACCAGCCCTACTCACCGTAGAAGAGGAAAGCTTTGGTCATGGGATGGTGCAGGTAGGTCCGGTTGATGGTGAAGAAACAAGCGTCTGCTCCACACTGGCTTAGCCTTCCAGCCTCCCCGGTCAGCGGGGACCACCAGAGCATAATGGGGTAGCTGTCGCTGTCCGATTTTTTTTTCCTATTCAAGTCCAGTGCTTCTTTCTTAAGGAATGGATTCAGATATTCAGGCACTTCCTCCATTTTCGTACGTCCATCTTGCAAATTGGAATTTCTAAACTTCGTCCTCTCGAATTTTCCCAGCTCCACCACTACCTAAAAGGGAAGATAATTATTTCCAGTTGAATTTCCTTTTGCACACCTCCCATGCATCTTGACGACGGAGGCTATTATTAGCTTTTTATGGCTGCTGTGACAAATTGCCAAAAACGGTCATTTAAAACAACACAGATTTATTAGCAGACGGTTCTGGAAGTCAGAAGTCTGAAATAGACCTTGCTGGGTTAAAATTAAGGGGTCAGCAGGGCTATGTTCCTTTCCGGGGACTCTAGGACAGAATCTGCTTTCTAGGTTTTTCTATCTCTCAGAGGCCATCCCCAATTCTTGGCTCACGGCCGCCTTCCTCCACCTTCAAACCAGCAACACTGCATCTCTCCGACTCTCCTGTCGTCGCCTCTCTCTCTGACCAAGGCCAGGAAAGGGTCTCCACTTTGAAGAACTCATGTGATTTCCCAGGGCCCAAGTGGATAATTCAGGATGATCTCCCCACCTCGAAGTGTGTCACATTGATCCCATCTGCAAAGTCCCTTCAGCCACATAAAATAACACAGTCACAGGTTCCAGGGATCAGAGTGTGGACACGGCCTCCAAAATACCTACCAGCAAGATGCTTACTAATTCTACTAAACACTTATAATGGAACATTTCCCCTCTGTTTTGTCAGTTTATATAACATGCACAAATAGTTTTAAGTCTTAATGAAACCTAGGATAGGGTTATTACCTAACTACCGCCAGAGATCATTCCAGGGAAAATAAGTTATAAATTACCAACTGGTTTCTTTTTATGACAATTAAAGGAGTCATAACATGGGTTTTATGTTTCTAGGAATACTCACTATAGCATTGAGGTGGCGAAGTAATATCGAACATCAAAGTTCCCTAGTGTCTATGTTATCAACATGGTAGACCATGAGTCCTAGGGATCTACTAACTCCCGCTAAAAACCACATTTTTTATTAATTTCACGATAGTCTAAGCCTGGGTTACTGGACAGCTAAGTCATTATTAACAGCAATCCAGAGAGCAGGGTAGGTGCAACAGAAACTCCAGAAGTTTCTATGATGCCTTTTCATCAAACTTTGAGATTCGACATTGATATAGCATTATAAAAATATGTTGGAGAAGGGATTGATCTGTTTCAGATGCAAATGACTTTAGTAGTCAAGACCGGGAAACAAATAACGCAGTTAAAGTAAGGCACGTTCACGTTTTTATACATTAAATCCTCCACCAGTCAGCCATGGAGGGTTGTGTGCCCCTGAGGCCCTACTTTTAGCAGCCAAGGGCGGTGCCTTTTTTATGTGCTTGCTACCCCTGGTGTTAGAAAAAGGCCACTGATCACTGATGCATGGAGTCTATAATTCCCCGGAGAGGATCCGTAACTTTCATTAGACTCGGAAAGCTATCCAAGGCCAAAAAAACATGAAGAACTCCTAAGTCAAAGCCAAGTAGTACTCCAAAAAAATGGGGAATTATATTAGCTGTAAAATATCATAGATCACCTGTGACACCAAAGTCAGCATCAGAGCAGCAAAACCATCACTGAAAACTAAAGTCTAACTGTTGCCAACAGCGTTCGCAGCACTTTTACAAGGTAATATTGCGGCTCTTCCCAGTAGCTTGATGCATGCAGTTGACTTGTAGCCACCAACTATCTTTTCATCTGACCTTCCCTGCAGTGACAGCTAGTCACTTAAAGGCTTTTAGAAAGCCCTGGATATAGCCTCAAAGATAAAATTTCTTCCCTATTTCTGATCAATGTCCACTGTGTGAGGTGTAAGTTCATTTCCAAATAATAGGAATTGTTTTAAGGATAGATTCTTCTGCCAAATAGCTTAAAAAACATATTTAGCTTCAAATATCACTACCAGGTTGTAGGAACTATGGGAGAATAGAGGAACATATGAAACAAAACTATGAGGATAAAATCGGCCAAATCCACAATGTAGGAAATTCAAAAGGATAAATGACCCAGTTTCTTCCACAAATCCATGACATGGCACAAACGGTGGGGCAGAGGAAACTTTTAGAGTAAAAACAAATCAAAACATAAAACTTGAGACATACCAACTAAATACAATGTGTGGGGTTGGTTTGTTCCAGATTCAAACCAATCCATTATAAAAAGACT